CGGCGTCACATCCCTGTCCGTCTGTCCTTTGTTTAGGTGGTGCTGGAGAGGCAGAACGGGAGCTGGTTGTACCCCGAGAGGCTGCGTGCCGATTCCTGGGAGGACCAGGTATGGAGTTAAAGAGGGGGATTTCAGCTCTCCAGAAAGAAATCCAGGGTTTTAGTCTGATATTTTCCTCCCAGCAGGTAACTCCGAGCCTGTTCAGCACACAATCAGGCGCTCCTGCAGCAAACCCCAGTCTTTTTATCAGGGTCAGATCAGAAACGGAGTGTGGCTCTATGAGAGCAATAAAAATGTGCATAATGGGCTTTTTAAACCTCTGCACACGAGAGCTTTGTAGCAGAAGGGCTGACAGGAACCTGAAGCTGGGTAAATATTTATCCAGCTCTTCAGCTTTTGCCTGGCTGGGGCAGATGCTCAGGGCTGGGCTTTTGGGCTGGGTTGCCACGGATCTGGCTCACGTTGCGGGGTTTCAGGTTGCCCAAGCGTGGCTCAGGGTGGCATCCTGCAAGCAGAGCTTGGGTGGCAACCAAAGGCCACCGCGCGCCTTATCGGGAGGGCTGGAAGCTGCCGCTCGAGCGTGGGTGGTGAGGACAGGAGCGCCTTTCGTTTTTTCAAGCTGAGAAGCGATGTTCGCAGGCTTTGTCACCAGCGCTGCCCACGTTGGGGCGTTGAGGGCTCCTTTGATACCTCCCGACGGCTCATCCTGCCCTGTTGTCCTCTCCGCAGGAGGACGACTGCTCAGGTGAAGACGTGGAGAAGATCCGACAGACGGCAAAGAGGCTGTTCACAAAGCTGCAGGAGGCCGAAAAGCGCCATCAGTTTGAAAAGAAAGCCTTTGAGGTGACTACGCTGAGCACTTCTCTGCTGGGAAAGCGTGGGTTTTATCTTATTTTGGTGGATTTTTTCAGTTTGGAAGTCTGAGGAGCTGCACGGCGTTAGGGTTTCTCCTTGCAGAGCAGTGGTATTGGTGTGCGTTGGTAAAATGCACCAGGGAGTCCAGAGCTGAAAAGCGCCATCAGTTTGAAAAGAAAGCCTTTGAGGTGACTACGCTGAGCACTTCTCTGCTGGGAAAGCGTGGGTTTTATCTTATTTTGGTGGATTTTTTCAGTTTGGAAGTCTGAGGAGCTGCACGGCGTTAGGGTTTCTCCTTGCAGAGCAGTGGTATTGGTGTGCGTTGGTAAAATGCACCAGGGAGTCCAGAGCTGGCTCCCTGACTGCCCATGAATCTGAAGGCATCAACGCTTTCCCAGTTCAAAAATCCCATAAAATAAAAGCGGCAGCCAGGTTGGAAGACGATCTCCCTTAAACTCTGCCGAGCCTTTCCAACCGTAGCCAGGTTTGCTGCACAAGGGCTGGTTTTTGGGGACTGGGGACCACCAAGGCGTCCCAGCCAGCTTGAGAGGAGACCAAATCTGCAGTTCCCAACCATGGAGCTGTGGTCTCTTTTGGAGCTCAGCCTCCATCCATGGGGCTGTTGGTGTCAAGAGGGGTGAGCTGACCGGGAGGCACCCGAATCCATCGCACGGGCCCCCTCGCCCGCCAAGCGGTGCTGACGAAGCTGCCACGTTCACATTCCTCCCTCCCTCAGCCCTGGTGATTAATGTCCCCTTCGGTTTGTTTTCTAGTGACTGCTCATGTCCCGGATGGGCAGGGCCTGACTGTGTCACCCCGCAGCTCTGAGCGCTGGTGGCAGCGGTGACATCCCGGCTCGCATCCTGTCCCACAGACCAAACTGGTCCTGGGAACCCTGGGGGGTTCCCCGCAGCGGGGACAGGGGACAGTGGCTGCTGGGGAAGTGGGTTTGAGTGGCGACCGCTTCCTCCGGCGCAGCGGTGGCTCGTGTCCCCAGGGCGCCTGTGCTTGTGCATAGGAAGTCGCGTGGTTTGGTGGCATTTTGGGGTCTTTGGTCAGCGGCGATGCTGACTGCGGGCTCTGAGGCATGGCAGGAATGGGTGTTTTGGCAGCTGTTGATTGTGCCAGCGCTGTCCAGATGTTCTTGAGCTGCCCTCCAGCTGTTGTGAGGATCCATGGGGACACCCTTGTCCCCTCTTGACTCCCAAGCCATTGATGCAGGCATGGGGCTGGCTGCTGAGGTTGGTTCCTTGGGCAGACGGCCCGAGAGGAGCCTGCAAACAGCCTGAGAAGGAACTCTTGCGTTTGAGGAGCCTTTATTGCCACAGCATTGAAGCGCTCGCTCCTTTGAAGTGCTTTGAAGCTGGGGAGCTTTCTGAAGAACCTCTTCTCTCTGAAGCACGTCGGGCTGTTTGCTGAGACGCCCGGCCGCCTTCAGCAAAATCCTCCTGCCAAGGCTTCGAGCACCGGTGCGGCTTCAAAACGTCGCTCGAGAGAAGGGCTGTGGTGGTGCGGGTGTTTGGACATGCAAGGGTCTGGGTAAAGGCGTCTCCGTCTCATTTGCAGAGGACGATCTCGCAGTACCAGGAGGAAGCAGAGCAGGCGAGCTCTGCCCTGCGGAGAGCGGAGAAGAGCGTGGTGGAGAAGGAGGTGGAGGTGGATGAGCTGCAGAGACTCCTGGCAGGGATGGAGAAGGTACCGGCCCTAAAGCAGGGGCTGGTGGAGTTAGTGGAGCTGCCTGGGTCTGCTCTGCTGTGTGGGAGGGAACAGGAAGGCCCAGTGGTGATGAGTTTGGCAGTGCTCAGTGCAGACCCTGCAGTGGGTCTTGGACTGGCTGCAGCATCCCCACCATGCAGAGGGTTTGACTTCCCAACCGGGTTTAACCTGAGAGCGTCAGGCAAAGCCATGGGCTGGGAACGGCTGCAAATGGGCTGCTGCTGATTTAGACGTGCACTTCTCAGGTCTAGAAGATCTGGTCGGTCTGTGCGAACTCTCGCAGGTATCCTGGAGACGAGTGCACAGTCTAGACAGCCACCCGGTTCTTCTTCTCGTGGGGGCATTAACACAACCTCCAGCCTTGATGATTTTATTTTTTCTTAGCTGTGGGCTGATCATAATAACATTAAAGTCATAAATCTAACAGTGCTGCGTGAAGTGAGCTGGGACCGCCTTCCCCAGCCCGACAGCGGGGAAGGAGATGGGTTGGTGCCTTGCCTGTATCCTGGGGGTAAAGGAGTGGGACGTCTGCTGTCGGTCACCTCTGCGGCTGCCCTTGTCTGTCTCTCACATGTAAATTTAATGCTGGTGAAAACAACCCGCAGATCGAGCGGGGAGGCCGCGCTAAGCCTGCCCGGCTCCCTGGGTGTTTGTAGTTGGCTGGTGCTGCGCAGCGGAGGCCAATGTGTTGCGACTTGTTTCTGTGCGTGTAACTGGGCCTCTCGCTCTGTTGCAGGAGCACAGGAGCTTGCTGCTGAAGATGAAAGAAGGCGAAGCCGAGCTGGCGAGGCTGAGAAGCGTGGAAGGTGACAAGCTTGCCGAACAAGACCGGTGAGGCTTGGCCTCCGGCTCGGCTGCCAACTCCGGAGCAAGCCCACGCCGCTGGGTCGGGGTGTCAGCTCGCTGGGGCATGACTGCACATTCCTGCGAAGGGCGGGCTCGCTCTCTGGCTTGCAAAACAGCGCCCTACTCCCCAGAGCTGACTCATCTCCAAATAACTCCCGCGGTTTTGCCCTGCTCCAGGAGATCCGGAGCTCCGGAGCCGGGGCTGCCTGGGGACCTCTACCGGCACCACTGCGGGCTGGGAGCTCCGGGCAGGTCCCGGGGAGCCTCCGGAGCAGCCGATTCTCCCCGTGATGTCGGATTTGTTCCACCCAGCCGGTATCCTTGTGCTCCGGGGGCTAATTGGCAATGGCTCGTTTCTGGAAGGCCTTGTTTGTGGCCTGACTCTTCCTGCTGTTCTTGTGTCCCTGCAGCCTGTGGTTGCTCATCTCTGTGGCTCCTGCTTTGTCTCTTGTCTCTCCTTACCTTGTCTAGCCAAAATATTTCAAGACTTGTACGGCTGTGGAGGAGACCTGGCTGATAAAAAGCTGCTCTGGGCATAGCTGGGTGGGTGCTGCCGTTCTGGGAAGGCATCTGATGGCGCCTGGACTCTCGTCCTCTTCTCTTCCCAGGTCAGCCCAGCTGGAGAAGGAGGTGGCCATGCTGCGGGAGAAGATTCACCACCTGGACGACATGCTGAAAAGCCAGCAGCGCAAAGTCCGCCAGATGATCGAGCAGGTGAGAGGAGCAGGAGGACTCAGAGAGGACTTAAAAGAGGAAAAAAAAAACCCCAAAAAACAAGCTGCTTGGCAGCAAAGAGTCGCTGGTTTGCGGGGCTGAGTCGCTTGGCAAACCAAAGGGACACAGGTTCAAAGGCAGCCCAGAGCCCTGGCCTGCAGCGGGGACTGACCCCGGGGTGACAGCCCAAAGGGCTGCGGCGTGAGCAGCCCTGGGCTGGGGTGGGTAATAAACGGAGCGAGAAGGCAGGGGTTAAATCTCCAACTGTGTCAGCAGAGGCTCCTTCACCTGGGGCTTAATCCTCAGACTTAATTGGAGGCTTTTTACTTCTGATTGGTTTTTATGCAGACCTTGGCGCTAACAAACGCTGTTGACAGGCAGAGGGGTGCTGGCTGAGCCGCCCTCCTTCCTGGATGTTTCCCCAGCCCGGCCATACATGAGAGGGGTTTTCAGCTGCCGTGAACTTTTCTCTTCCAGCTCCAGAACTCCAAAACGGTGATCCAGGCCAAGGACGCCGTGATCCAGGAGCTCAAGGAGCGAGTCGCTTACTTGGAGGCTGAGGTGCGTCCTAGCGGGGCCGTTTTGGGGGGTGAACGGGGTCTGCTCCCCTTCAGTTGAAGCCTCCTGGTGTGACTGGTTTGTGCATGCCCACGGATCGTGGCTGGGCTCCCTCACAGCGATGAGCTTTGCTCTGGGCAGAGCAGCCAGTGGCAAAGCCCTTCCCCAGCATTGGCACCTGTTTCACGTAGGGAAATGTCCCCTCTGCAGCCCCCAGGGCTGTGCCGCTTCCCCGAGCTGGTGCGACAGTTTCCGATGCAGCCGGGGCTGCTGGAGCAGCTGTGAGCTCACACAGAGTCCAAAATAATCTCATCAAGCACATTTCTCTGGCAGCAAAACCCTTCCTTACAAAGCCGCAGCTGAGCGCGTGCGTGTCAGAAATTAAAATTGCGTTGCAGCCTCTAGGATTGTAACAAGTGTCAAACCTCTCTCCTTTTTTGGAGAAAAACTGAGCCTGCACTGGCACTTCTGCCACTCTCTTCCTTCCTTGGTGCCTTCTTTTGCTGCTTTCTGCGTGGGGACGGTGTATGTTCCACTGAAATTGGAGAAGAAACTTCTCAGTGAGGGTGACAGAGCCCTGGCCCAGGCTGCCCAGAGAGGTTGTGGAGTCTCCTTCTCTGCAGACATTCAAAACCCGCCTGGACGCCTTCCTGTGTAACCTCATCTGGGTGTTCCTGCTCCGGCAGGGGGATTGGACTGGATGAGCTTTGGAGGTCCCTTCCAATCCCTCACGTTCTGGGATTCTGGGATTCTGTGATGTGAGCACAACCTGCCCATCCCCAGCTCCCCATTGCTAATGGCGGCCCCATCTCTTGCAGAACCTGGAGATGCACGACCGCATAGAGCACTTGATCGAGAAGCAAGTCAGTCGGGGCGGCCACAGCTCCCGAGCACGCTCGAAGTCGGAGTACGTGAGCAGGTACGTGGGGAGCACGCACCCTTCAGCCTGCATGGCCGCTCAGCAGCTTCATCTGCAGGTCCGCATCTTGCCTAGGGGGAGATGCTGGACTCGGGGATGCTCTTCTGGACATGCATTGTGTTATTTTCTCTCTGCAGAGAGGTCTCCATTCCTCTATCCCTCCCTCAGGGGAGTACAGCGGGGCAGAGGGCACTCCTGTGGGCGGTTTTGGGGGGAGCAGGGCTGGGGCAGGACCCTCTCCCAAACCCCAACCAGTTCCTCTGGCTGAACAAACCCTTTCTGTCTTGCAGCAAAAGGCTGACGGGCCCCAAGCCGCTGCCTCTCATTCGAGTAGTGGAAACATGAGTTTTGAGGGCCGGTCCGAGCTGAAGACTCTCCCCTTGTTATCGTTGACTGGATTTCCCTGCTTGACTGCCGTCCTCTGGCCTCTGTGCTCCCGGAGTCTCCCCGGAGCTGTCGGCGGGGGGCTGTGCCCTGGAGAACTGCGGCAGCCGAGGACAGACGTAGCCGAGGTGGTCCTGGCAGAGGAAGGAGGTTTGCGAAGCGTCCGCATTGCTGTCCCCACTGGGTCCTGAGGTCACAGGGATGCCAGTTTGGAGGCTGGGACCCGCCGGCCCTGGCGTGGACACAGTGGCTCTCTGGCTGGAGAGCCGGGCTCGCTTTCCCCGGTCCATCCTGGGTTTGCCGGGGTTGCTCTGCGAGAGCAGCCTCTGCTTCTGAAGGGCCTCGTCCGAACAGAGCCCCCGCTTCAACTTGCAGTTTGCCAACATGGACTTGGGGTTTAAAAATAAATTAGAAAACCAAGCAAAGATTCACTGTCACAAAGAAGAAAGAAATCCTCCTGAATCCGGACTCCTTCCTACACCAAAGCCCAATGCGTGACAAGTTGGGAGCCTCCACCTCCGATCCCCAGCACATATCTGGCTGCTCCGGACTTGGCAAAGGCTCACGTGGCCAAAAATCAATGTATCACCGTGCTTTTCCAAAGAGCGTAGAGAAATTGTACCCGACCTACGTGTAGTGTTTAAACCCAGAGGCTGTTTGGTTTGTTACCTGTATTTATTTCAATAAATTATTGGTGTCTTCCAATGATGTGGTGACAGGCACGATTGCTGCTGTCCACCTCCACGGGAGCACAGTTGAGGACTGCCTGTCCCATGTTTGAACTGGAAAATACCAACCAGCTTCCTCTGGGCTTGCCAGTTATTACCTGTCTTGTGCGAGCCCTTGCTCAGGAAAGGAATTTGGGTACTTCGAGAGGAAAGCCGTGGGCATTTGTACTGACCTTCATATAAAAATACACACGTGCCTTAATCCTCCTGCCTGCAGTTGATTGAGTCCATGTCAACAGTGGGGTGGATTCGGCGTTTTGGGCTGTGCTGGTGGGGCTCCTTACTTCTTGAGGTAGTTGTGCACGCCGCCTTTTCTCTTATTTTCCTTGCTGATGTGTTAAACTCTACCAAACATCACCCTCCTCTTCCTGTGCCTCACAGGAGTGAGCTGATGCTGCGTTCAAGGCCATGGTGGCGAATGCCGGGGGCTCACGTGGCCAGGAAAGCCAACGGCATCTTGGCCTGTATTAAAAACAGCGTGACCAGCAGGGCCAGGGAGGTGATCATCCCCCTGTACTCGGCACTGGTGAGGCCGCACCTCGAGTGCTGTGTTCAGTTGTGGGCCCCTCACTAGAAGAAGGATGTGGAGATTCTGGAGCGTGTGCAGAGCAGAGCCACAAGGATGGGGAGGGCTCTGGAGAACAAGCCTGATGAGGAGCGGCTGAGGGAACTGGGCTTGTTTAGCCTGGAGAAGAGAAGGCTGAGGGGAGACCTCATCCCCACCTCCAACTGCCTCAAGGGAGCTTGTGGAGAGGTGGGTGCTGGGCTCTGCTCCCAGGTGATGGGGGATAGAACAAGGGGAAACGGCACCAAGCTGTGCCAAGGGAGGTTCAGGTCAGAGATAAGGAGGAAGTTCTGTACTGAGAGGGTCGTCAGAAGCTGGACCAGGCTGCCCAGGGAGGTGGTGGAGTCCCCATCCCTGGATGTGTTTAAGGAGCGGGTAGATGAGGTACTTAGGGATATGGTTTAGGGGGTAGACAGGAGCGGTTGGACGTGATGATCTCAGAGGGCTTTTCCAACCGAGCCATTCTGTGATTCTCAGCTGGCTGCTTCTGGATTGGAATTGAACAGCTCCTTATGGCTCCCCTGTCCACTCAGCCTCTCCCCAGCACCTGGAGGGGACAGCGGCTGGGCTCAGGGTGAGAGGTGCCTCTCTGCTCCTTAAGCAGAGTTCCTCCACC